ATTATTATTATTATTATTATTATTATTATTATTATGAGAAAAAACTTTATATTGAATATTGATGCCTAGAAATGATGGATACAGTATAAGAAATGAATTAAGGAAAACAGTCACCAATCAATACCTTTTCAGCTTAAGTTTCTCATTGATTTGTTTCCTAAAGTTTGGATGGTGTTTCGTGAGAGGTATAATTATGCATTAAGTTGAACATTTTGGTTTTGAACAGCAGGGTCTCCCACAAAGTCTTTTGTAAAAAATGAAGAAAATGATAGCTCTTGGATTTGAGGGTTCAGCCAACAAAATTGGTGTTGGAGTTGTAACCTTAGATGGCACTATTCTGTCAAACCCACGCCACACTTACATTACCCCTCCTGGCCAAGGCTTCCTTCCCCGAGAAACTGCCCAACACCATCTGCAGCATGTACTTCCACTTGTCAAATCCGCTTTGGAAACTGCCCAAATAACTCCGGAAGAAATTGATTGTCTCTGCTACACCAAGGGTCCTGGAATGGGAGCCCCTCTTCAAGTTTCTGCTGTTGTTGTCCGGGTTCTTTCCCAGCTGTGGAAGAAGCCCATTGTTGCCGTTAATCACTGTGTTGCACATATTGAGATGGGACGTATTGTGACTGGAGCAGATGATCCTGTTGTGTTATATGTTAGTGGTGGGAATACACAAGTAATTGCATATAGTGAAGGGAGGTATCGAATCTTTGGAGAGACTATCGATATTGCTGTTGGGAATTGCTTAGACCGATTTGCAAGAGTTTTAACACTCTCCAATGATCCAAGCCCTGGATATAACATTGAGCAGGTATGTGAGTACAATGCTTTTTTTATTTTCAAGTTGAGCGTTTGTATTTTCATGGCCTAAGCCTTTTCCTTTCTTAGCTGTTTTCCCTCCTTGTCTCTTATCAAGATTTGCTTCCATTGATTTATCTGCGTTTTGATTGAAAACAAAATTTATATGCAGCCATTCCCTACCAAAATAACCTGTCCATACTCTAGTCTTTATTTTTTGTTCCCGGCACCTTTCATACAGTGGAATGTACTCAATGAAAGGTTGTTTATTTAAAAAAAAAAAAA